TATTTATTGTAGATTTTTGATTCTATCTTATAGATAATTTTTTTTTTTTGTTATTTCAGTTTCATCATTATTTTCATATTCATCATCATCATTTGATGAATGGCATTCAAAATCTCAATGTACTCAAAAAGAATTTGCGAACCATATGGATATTAGTTGTAATTCTAATGAATTTATTCTAATTGGTTGGTCACATTATGGTACAAAAAAGTCTTCAGGAATACGTTCATTAATAAAACCAGAACAACAATGGTATTATCTTATTTAAATATTGTTTTCTTTTTCTTATTAATTATTGTTAATACGATTAACAATTTAGGTGTGAACCGTCTGAAAGTGATTGTATTATGGATTATACACATAAAATAGCTGAACTTTGTAATGGTGTATCAAAATGTGAAGTTATTCTCACACAACAATTTATTCATAAATGTTCCGATGAAGCTACTTATTTATTTATATCTTATCAATGTATTAATAGTAAGTTTTCAAAGAAAAAAAGAAATGTTTAGTGAATACAAAAATTATTCAACAAAGTTTATTTTCAATGTTTTTCCACTGTCGTAAACTTTAGAAAGAATTCCAAAAGAGACATATTTCTTAGAAAATTGTTTGTTGTATCGTTGTATGTAGTCTAAACAAAATTCTAGATGCTGAAAAACTAGTCTTTTGGATTTTTTTCGGATTTGTATGTTTGCAAATCTAATACTAAGTTTTATTTTTTTATATTCATATTGGAAACAATTCTCTCTATTCGGATTCTTGATAGTGCTTACGGCAGCAGAAAATAATTCTTGTTAAATAATTTTGATACGCATAGTATATTTAATAAAATAAATAATATTTTATTTATTTAGATTCAACTATTGTTGATGTATGCTCAAAACATAGTATGATATCATCAAATGGTCTTAATCTTATTAGTCCATTATTTCCTAATGAATATCCAAATAATGTTAATTGTACATGTAGAATTGAACCAGTAGAATTAAATAAACAATCATTACCAATCAATATTGATGTTGAGGTATAATTAAAAGATTACATAGGAATCTTGATTAATAAAATATATTATTAAAAATCCGAAAATATTTTATCGAATTTAGAATCTAAGAATATATGTCTTGATGTTTTTCATCCAATATCGATTGAATATTTTAATTATTTTTCTTATGAAAATTAGTTTTTTTTTTCTTTTGTTTATTTAGAGTCTTTCGTTTAATTTACAAGATAATGATTATTTATCATCATCGAAATCATTATCTTTATCGGGTACAATTCCATTTGGTGCTTCTCTATTCAATGAAAAAAATTCTCTTCGTCTTACATTTACAACTGATGAAACATTAAGTCAATCAGGATTTTGGATTCGTTTACATGGTAATTTATATTGCTTAAAATCTTTACTTTTGTTTAAAAAAGAAAAGTTCTTTTTTTTTTTTTAAGGTTATTATCAGTGTAATAATGATGAATATACACTTGGTTCGAAATGTATAAAAATCTTTCAACAAAAACAAACATGGAATGATGCACAAGAAAAATGTCTATCAATTGGTTCACGTTTAATACATTTAAATGATATTGTTCAAGAAAAAAAATTAACATATTTTCTTTTAACAAATTATGAACAATCACAACAACAAACATCATTTTGGATATCTGATGAAAAAGAAAACTATAATAGTAAGAAGAAAAAGAAACAAAAAAAATAATACATTTTTATTTATTTAAGTTCATTCATGGTGGCCATGGCGATTATCATTAAATGAAGGAAAATGTGTTTTACGTACACAAGATGGTTGGATTAAAAGACCTTGTGATGAACTACAAGCATTTATATGTGAACGAGATATAAATCGACAATCCATACCACTTACTGTTCGTTGTGGTAATGCTCAAGCACCATTATCTTCTACTATCATTATAACAACACCATCATCGCCACCATCACCACCACCACCACCAATAACAACAATTATCACTAGTACACGACGTCCAACTGTTTCGTTTATTCAACCTCCTATTGTACATGAAAAAATTCCATCATCATCAATTTATGAACCAGATAATTTTTTTCCTTCTGTTATTCCTTCAGTTAATACTGAAACAACAATGGAAACAAAAATAAGTTCGATTGATCCAAGTAAAAGAGATTTAAGATTTTTAAATTAATATTTCATTTTTTAACTTTAGATATTCTTGCGGCTGTATTAGGTGGTGTAGCATTAGCTATTTTTTCCGTAAATATTATTGTTTGTTATATATGTAAAAGGTAGAGTAAAAAAATTTCATATATCAAAAATTTATAATTTTTTATTCTTTTTTTTAGGCGTACACAAAAACCATCAAAATGTAAAACACCAATTGAATCTCAATCATCATTTACACATGAAGAATTACAACGAAGTCTTATGCAACATTTATATCATGAACAAACAAATACAATATCATCAACATCAACATCATCATCATCTTCTAAACATTCACAATCAAAATCAAATGATACATCAACAACAACAGCAGCTAATGTTAATCTTCTTCAATTATGTTCTCCACCTCATCCATCAAATTCATCACAGTCTTATATAACACGTTCAAATGCTCCTGCTACAGCACTATGTTTTCGAAATCCACATGCTGCTATACATAGTAATGGTGATCCAGTTGATTATCATTTTTATGAAACAATACCTTCAGAAAGTACGAATTATAGTGTTTGTGCTGCACATAGCGCTTTTAAACCTGTACTTCAATCAAATTCACATACAATTCGACCATTTCTTCCACGAACAAATATTTTTTATCATCCTCCAGGTTCTACAAAACAGTCTCATGATACGACATTATCAACTGCAACGACTTCTGCTGTTTTAATGCCTGTATGTTGCCATCATCATCATTTATCACAGTGTTCAACAGGAACCTTAAGACAACATATATCTCCACGTATAATTCCACCACCACCGCCACCAATTACTGCAGATGAACAGACTTATATGGGTTCAGAAAGTATCGTATAAAACAAATAATTTTTTTGTCAATATTACGGTGTTGTCAGATGATTTTAATAACAAATTAAACTTACAGATCAGAATCACTCACGAGTTGTTTTCGTTTTCTTTTATAATTGTACTTTTTTTTGTTGTTGTTTTTTTTTTGCTAATAATTGATCTCTTCGTTTTTTCCTTTTTTGCGTTTATTCTCTATTTTTGTTACCGGTCCCATGTCCTCTGCAATAAAGATTATTAATCACTCATCTTTTTTTTTTTCACTAATGAATTTCTTATTTTAAACTATAATCATATTAGGGAGAATTGAATTAGATCTTATTTTCGATGTAAGTATGATGGAGATTATAGAATTCACTACATCTTTGTTGAGTCCGAAAATTTTGGATCTGATGGACTCTAGCAGCAACACTGGATAAGACACTGATAATTTTCTTAACTTCTTTGAATTAAATATTTTTGAAATGATTGTTTTATGTTAGTGACAGAGGGTTTGTCAAAACGAATCACAGTAGACAAGAATGAAAAAACGGTAGCAAAAGTTTTATTTCATTAGTTTGTTGATATTAGATTATCCGTTAGACCTATTTTATTCAATGAAATTCTTATATATAATATTGTATCATTCTAGTAAATACTTTTCTTTTTTTTTATTAAAAACCAAGTAGTTAATCTGTCAGAATACTTTTAATTCAGTAATATTCCAAAGTGATTCGATGGTTGTACTATTATCATTTTAAATGATCCGTGGTTAGGGATCAATTTACAAAAAAATGAATTTCTAATCTTCAATTAATTTAGATTTTCTTAGTACATCTGTTTATTAATCTTTTTAAGAATCAGATATTGACAACTTTTCAATTCAATTTTCCCATGATGAAAACGTCTGGTTATTTGTAATAAACAGCAAACTGTAGTTTCATCTTTAGGTAAATAAGGATGATGGCAATTATGATGTTGTTTAATATATCGGAAAACTTCTAACAACAACTACAACTATATCTATGGATCACTAAAAAGATTTTATTTTAATAATAAACTCATTTGATAGTACAAACATTCATATTCCTAATACATATAATTTTATAATAGCATAACTTAAAACAATATTTGGTAAGAGTACAACAGAACGATAATCAGCAAATCATTGTAAATTATACCGACTGTTAAGGCTCTTAATTTCTACAAATTTCGAACTGTAGCAGCTTTTATCGTATCAGCTATCAATAGATTGCAATGGTCGGATTACAATTTCTATTCTCATTTGAGTACACTCGTTAACAATAAATACTACATACGATAATAAATTTATTTCCATATTCATTGCTGATAAAATGAAAATAAGCATAAGAATAATGTTTACATATGAATGAGATTGCTATTGAACATACTAAACAACTGTCAAATCGTGCTACATTTGACAAAGTAGAGTAATAAATAGAACATGATGGTTTCTTTTTATTCAAAATCGAAATATTCTATTAATGAAATCGAAAAGTAATTCTTTTTTAATTTAAGATATGTCATCAATGTTTTTAGTAGTAGAAAGTGTAACAGAATATTCATCACATCACATTAAGCCGTATAAAACTTAATCAATGATCCAAAAAGCTATTAAAAATGATTAATCAATTTAGCTTCATTTTATTTTGATCACGAATGCAAACGCGTCTTCCGACGGTAAGTACTCCGTATTGATCAGTCAATTTTGTTTTAGATAATGTTTATTTATGTTTTTCTTAAAATAATTGTATGTACAAGAAAATCAGTTATACATACAATGAATATTTTATCATTTTGATCGAATGTATCTTTTAGTATTCATATGAATATATTCTATAATTCAGGAAACACATATATAGAGAAATATAATACTGTTTAAGTATCCTATAAAAATGAAAAAATTTCTAGACTGAAAAAAAAAAGTTTTTTGTTAATATGATTCTGGAAAATTTTTGACTAGATTTCATTTTGTTCATTTTGATTTCTTGTTTAATGTCCATTTTGTAATGATAATATTGGCCATGCGTTGTCATATTGTGATTGCATTGTTATATTTTGTACTCGATTAGCCATTGAACCAAGTCGTATTTGTATTTGAGTATTTTGTTGATTGAATTGTTGACAAACTGTTTTAAGATCTTTAAAGATTGATAATAATTGATCGACATCAATATTTTTTGAAGAAGTTTTGAGTGATAATAAATGTGTATTCCATTTATTTTCAAAATTATTGATCATTGCTTGAAGTTCCCTAATTATATAAAGAAAAGAGAAATGAATCATTTAAATTTTGTTTTCATTGAACTTACATTTGTTGTGTATGAATTAATTCGTTGACACGTTGTTCAGTCAAATGATTTTGAGGTTCTGTATTTGAAACATTTTGAGCAACTTTAGAAGCAGAAGATTTTCCCTTTTGAGTTGAATGATAGATTAATGACCAATAAGGTTGAACAGGACGTCGTGCACCATCAATAAGAATATATTTATCATTGAGGATTGTCGTTACAAAAGATTCAGATTTAAAATCCAATCGAACAATATCAACTGGCTTTCCATCTCTATCATGAAATCGAAAAATTTTTTCGATACCTAAATAGTTATGTCCCAAATCTTGCAATAATTTTTCACATTTTTGATTGGATGGAACTTGTAAAACGATTAACGATCGTGTTGATGATTGAATTGAATATTGTTGATCACCAAATAGAATATAATCGTCGTTGAGAAGTCGCTTAGCAAAATCAACTGATTGTAAATCAATTACAATCGCATCTATTGTGTTTTCATTATTATCTCGAAGACAAACTCGAGATACCTTTTCGACACCAAAATATTTTTCTCTCAAAGTTTGTAATAAATTTTTTTCTTGTTCATTTAATGAAGTATGTGAGAAAATCAATGATCGCATTGCTATTTGTGTTGATAGAGGAAACTGTTGTTTCGACGGCATTGTATCAAAGAAAAGTGTCTTTTGTAATATGTTTCTTTGTTTAAATACTTTTTCAAACAGAACAACTTACTCAATGGCAGTGTAAGAAAATGACTAAGATTATGAGTGATAGCATATTTCCCATATTATCGACAAAATAATGAAAGTGGTGCAATACTGATGTGTGCTTCGTTCATACGTCGGCGAAGAAAAGGAAAGAAAAAGAATTGCACCATCACTATGCTCGAACAAAATAAGTAGATTTTTGTAGATGTAGTAAAATCGAACAAGCCGCGATTTCGTGTCTTATTCCGTTTGAGCCTGAAGCATACTTGGACCATGGAATGGCTAACTTTCGGGAAGGCCATTCCTAGGCGCGAGATCAACTCGATACTTGTTCTTTTTTTTCACTCATCATTTTTTAATTACTTCTGTTTGCTATACACGTCACGATGTTTTTCTTTCATTTCTTTCGCAATAAAGAATTTTATCTTGTTGTTTTTCGTTTCTCATCTATCACGTGTTTATCCTCACGGAACTTTCCATTGTTGATGTCAACACATATGTAGTCATTGGTTTCTTCCAAATAGATGTATAGAAATGTTATTTACTTTTGATAAAGTTTTCTTTCTACCATAAAATTCTCTCCGTGACACATATCATGATCAAAAAAATATTTGCATAATAGTTGCTTTTATATTTGTAAGATAATATACATGCATTAAGAAAAAATGAAAATTTTTTTCAGAAATTTAAATCGTCAGAATAAGAATGAAATTCTTCAAATGTATATATATATATTCAAGGGGTTGTAGGTGTGGATATGACTGTTTCCGGATGTGGATGTAGAGTATTACATTCATTTTAGCCACACTCACACCGACACCCACCCACACGAATACTTTAATAAAATTATTAACACACTTGAAAAGAGCATTGAGTATATTAAATAACTTGGATTTCTAATTGATATTTGACTACCAAGTTGTAATAGAAAAAGAATCATGTGTACAAATTAATGTAAAGAAAAAAAGCAGAAAATACTCTTAACGAGTATAGAACATTATTTAAAAAATGTTCATTATCTTTAATAAATTGATTATAGACTATGTTTAGAGAAAACTACTGATACGAAGGTGAGATTATTCCTACGAATAATTTGTTTTTGTCAAAGATTATCCTAGTCTTTTGACTATTTGTGTTGGTCTTTGATTATTATAAATGTGTAAAAATTTGATAATGTTGTTCGTTGTTGTTGCTTAATCATACTATTTATGTATTTAGACAAAGGTCTTTCATCTGGTCTTTTTAAAAATGAAATTACAAAACTTATTATTGGAATTGATCCAAATCAAAATGATCTGTCGACTATGGAAAATATATGCAATCTTGTTTTTACTGTGTGTAACAATTTAACTCATTTAATATTCTATGATGTATCATATAAAAAGATCGTTCGATTAATATCGGATTTTCTATCTCTCCGTTTTTCTTCTTCAACTCTTTTGGTATTAAATATCAAGGTCCAAACTTTTGATATATGTCTTTATATTCTCAATGGTCGTTTCAGTCAACTTCATACACTCTATATTGATTTGACTAATATTTATCTTCCAGAAAAAGAAGTTCAAAATCAAGTTAGTGTTACAAGAAGAAAAAATTGATTTTTTTTTTGTTGGTCTTGTTGCTCTAGGTAAAAATACCAAATCTCAAGGTTTTTTTTCTATCATGTGCTTGGAGAACATCGTATTACAATGAATTAATTATGCCTCTTCTTTATCGAATGTCAAATTTAGAAAAATTTGATTTGGATCTTACGATCTTGGCGGATGAAAGATTTATTGATGGAAAATATTCTTAATCGTATGTCACAATTAAATCAATTTACATTTGATATTCATTCAGTTATGTTTATCCAATAATCAAATGAATTTTCCGTCACAAGAAGACATTCAACAAACATTCAGAGATTTTCAATATACGAAAATAATATCTCGTGTTGATTATTTTTCCGAGGTAAGAGAAGAACAATGTCATGTTTATTCATATCCATTTCTGATGCAACATTACGAAGATATATCAAATAATTTTCCAGGTAGATTATATCCATATGTTCGTGTAGTATCATTATATGATGAAAATCCTTTTGAACATGAATTTTTTCTTCAAATTTCTCAATCATTTTCATTCATGCAAAAGTTATCTTTGATTAATCATCATGCAAAAAATCACAAATAATCTTATAAATCAATGAATGATAATCAGAGTTTATCAATTGTTAAATATTGTTATCTTATTGAACGAGTTCATGATGATTATGTCGAAGAATTTCTCTGTAATACAAAAACATGTTTATAAAATGATATTCTTCTTGAAGTCGACTTTAAATCATTAGAAAGAGTAACGCATAGTTTTACAAGAGATGATACGAGAATTAATTGTGGCAAAATCAATGAGATGTATTTACGTCGAAAATTAGAATATGATTGTAAATCTGTACAAGATTATTTTCCTTTTGCAAAAAATATATTGATTGTTATCATTTTTTATTCATATAAAATATATTATTCCTATGTTGAAAGATAAAGAATAAAAGTAAAAAGAAAGAAAATTGTTTTGTGTATAGTTATTAAGAAACCATATCTATAAAGAAATCAATACGATTATATGTGAGAAGATGAAATCTATGAAATAAATTGATTTTTCTTTTAAATAAAATGATTTGTATAATACAAGACATTTAAGTATTGAGAATGAATTCAATCTTTACACTAAAGGCATATAAACGGATTTCTAGTGTTAGAAATCACTTGAGATCAAATCACGATATCAATTTGATTTCTTTTGATTTTATGCGTATTTATTCATTAGTATGAATGAGAAGAAAACTGTCATCAAAGAGATAATTTCCAATGAAACATTGATATTTATAATAAAAAAACGGAAAATATGCTTTTCATCACCTTATGGATTTTGATCTAAATTATCACAAAATAAAGATAATTTCATCACTACAGTCTTAGATAGAAATGACCAGCAGAAAATGATACGTTTGATCACTAGATTTTCTCAACATTTATCTAATATTTTTATTGAAGGTGTAGGTGAGACTGAGGATGATGATGAGACAAAGAATGAGGACGAGGTAAGATAGAGGATGTGTGTGAGTGAAATGGGAGACATGGGTGAAGTTGAGGGTGTCATTGTAAGTGAGGAGTGAGGGTATTATGGGTGTGATAGAAGAAAAGATATACACCCACACCCTTTTCACTATGTTGCATATTAGTAAAAGCCATTCGAAGATATGGATTGGATGCTTAGAGTAAATTTTAAAAAGTTATTTTCAATGTTAAAATGATAGTATCTTTCATTTACTTACCAGCTAAGATAAATCAATGAACAGAAAATTCAACATATTCTTTAGTCATATGTTTTTTTGTTAAGATTCTTACATCACATTAAAGATTATCTTTTCTTAATTCATTTAATATTTGATATGCTTCATTTGTAAAAGCACATGTTCTTTTTCGATCACCCGAATGTGTATTTAATTTTGTCATTTGTTAATGATGACGTTTTTCCAACACTACTACCACCACTACCACTGCCACAACGTTCATTTTTAGATCATGCTCGTTTTAGCATGCTCTCGATGACTAACATTACCTATCACTGTTTTCATATTGTAAAAGGAGTAAGGAATATATCTCTGCAGATTATGAAAAATCTGTTCGGCTCACTCCCGTTATCGCCGAGAAAAAAAATTAGAAAGAAAAGAGATGAAAATGACAAAATAATTCAAGTTTTGTATTTCGAATTAGAAAGGTGCCGAGAGATTTTTATCTCGAATATTTTATAATGAAAATTTTGTTACAATTTTTTTGTTTCTTTTTCAATGGAGTTGTCTAATTGTGAATTATATGATCTATTATAAGAAAAGCTATTCTAAAGTGTCATTATTGTTGCCTAAACCAGTTGATAAAGATTTAAGCGTCACTGGTACTAAAAGGCAAAAAGAGATAATATCAAATTGAACTGCCGTCGCTAATTATTTTGTTAGTTTACATCTTTAACAGTAGTAGTGCTTCATAAAATGGAAAGGAAAACATATCTATAAATGCTTATTTACAAGACAAAGGAAAAAAAAGAGATGCAGTTTGAAATCAATAAGACATAGGACAATATGTTGACTCAGACTTTTTCTCTGTATTTAATCGCGAAGGAAACACCATAACAGATACTATGTAAAGATTCCAAAAAACTTGAGAAGACCTCAACGTATACATAAGTCGATAAAATATGCCGCTTTAAAAATTCACTAAAAAGATCAACTTGTTGTTTTTTGCTCCTACTGCTCAAAGCGAATAAGTACGATTATTATTGTGTGAAGAATCAGAAATTATTGTAATAGTTACTCAGAGTGTCATCTAGTTTAAAATGTAAATTTCAAATGTTTCGGATAAGTTTTTTTTCTTATAGTTTTCTTTCTTTTGTATAGTTAATCCTAAATACCAGAATGTGACTTGAGTCATTATTTTTTCTGTTTTGTTTATCGGTAGATCTGTACGTGTTTCTTTTGTTTTGGCTTTCGTATTTATGTGTATGTGTATGCGCAAGCACCACCATGGATAATAAAATAGACTGTTTGTGCAAAATTAGTCTTTTAGGAAATTGGCTCTTGTTTTTCGATTACGTGGATGTCTCTGTGTTTTTTTTTGTTAACCTTGAACCGATAAATGTGTTTTTGAGAATAACGTAAAAAAAGCCTATTTTTATTTAGTATTGAAGTTTTTTTTTCTTGCTGTTCTTATCAGTAATCAACACTTGCAAAAGAAAGGCATTCTTTGCTATTCTGTTAATATACATCAGACAGCCACTTATTCAAAATGGAACGAATTCAGTGCCAGAATTGCTCGGAAAACTTCTCTAATGAGAGAAAACCAATGATCATATGTTCAAATGGTCATTCAATGTGTCAAGGATGTTTTAATGAGATAAAATCGTCGATAAGACCAGAGTGTTCTGTATGTCGTGATGGTTTATTACCAATGCCTATTGTTAATCGTGATGTGTTAAGTTTAATAGAAGCTGTTTATGAAACAATGGCTGCTATACCACTAATCAAAGCAGAAGAATTAATAATAGAATCTAAACCATTTGGATATGGTGGTAGTGCTGATGTATTTCGCGCACAATGAAATCGACATACCGTAGTTGTAAAACGTTTACGTACCAATACAAATGATCCGAAACAATTATCTCAATTGAAAGGAGAAATAAGTATTCATGTTGGATTAAGACATCCTTGTATTATTTCTTTATATGGATATACGAGTAATGGTTATGGCAAAGAAATTGTCATGGAATATGCACAACGTGGTTCATTAAATCAAAATTAGAAAAATGTCGATAAAACACAACTCATCAATTGGGTAATCGATATTGTCGATGGTCTACAATATTTACACAGTCGAAAAATTTCGCACAGGTACCTTAGTTCATTCTTTACAACATCGTGTCGAATCGGTGTCTAATTCTGCATGATAGTAATTTGCTCAATATTATTTCTGTATTGAAAAATACTAGAGAAATTACTTTCGATAGAAAATTTAAAGTAAAACATCTTTACAATCTATCAAAGGCGTAGATTTTGCTGTTAAAACAAAACATTTCTCCAAGAGTAGATAAATTCTTTAAAAAAAACTCTTCTGTCATTCAAATAAAGAAAAAACCGGATGCACTTTTTCACTTTCACATTCCTCATATGAATCATCTTTGAACTTACTGCCAATTTGGGAATTCATTATGTGTTCGCGGTATTGTTTTTATTAGATTTTCCATTGCATGCAGTCATGTTTCGTCAATAAAGAGTATGAGAAACTAATACAGAAGAGATTAAAATAAACTATGTTTTCATTTAAATAATAAGAATAAACCAGTTTTATATATGCATATTCCAATTGTAGACGGAGTGAGAACTTACTCGAATATTCCTCAAACAACATATTAGTCAGCAACATCTGTTTTGAAAACTATCGTGGCAGCGGTAGTTTCGTTTTTAGGGATATTGTAAAACTGCGTGAATTTGCGTCCGATTGGAGTATCTACAAATCCAACAGTGAGAATTGTTGTGATGATTTTAATGGATTCAATCTAACATTGCTAATCTATCACAGTGACAGAAGATAATTATTTTCGAAGAATTTTGTCGAAGACCATTGTAGCAGCCTTGACTCTTCTAGGATTGCGGTATGGCAGCGGCAGATTCTTAGCCGCAATACACATCTCTGCTCTTGAACGATTATCGTTATACGAGACACCAATTTGTTTCCCTAGTTCTTTATCGAAAAGTAATATCAAACTGATCCATATTCTAACTTACTGAGTTTTATAATGATTGCTTCAAATCTTAAGGAATAACCAATGACCATCAATAAAAATAAATATGGCTAATCTTAATCGTATAAATATCTATGCATTTCATTTCATTAATAATCAATAGGTCAGATTTATAGAAGCCATTTAGAGAACGTGAATTCATGTCGACTGTACTCAAAGGATTAGCACACAAAAATTTCATTAAAAAAATCATCTTTATTAATCATTAATTAATAGAAGCAGTTTTCATGAATTTATCAATAAATAAATCACAGCAGTTGTGTACGAAGCTTAGACTTTTATTGCTACCAGAAAAACATTTCTTTATTCAGATTCTGAAATGAAAACATTTTGCTACAACTAAATAGTTGTCAGAAGTTTTCTCAAACTAGAAACATTTTCCACCGACGCACATTGGTCCACAAAGGCACCAGTGACTTCAACTATTCAAGAATTGAATAGTTGTATTGCTGAATTTCCGTCAGGATTAATTGTCGCGCACATGAAACGAAAATATCGGCTCCATATCATAAATAGTAGTAGCACTTCATGAAGGGCAGCTACATTTATGAAGAACTGATATCTTCATCAATAATAATTTATTTACAGATCTTAAACCGGAAAATGTTTTAATTGCACAAGATAATCGTGCAAAATTATCAGACTTTGGAATGGCAAGAGTATTAGCAATAATTCAGCATAATACATCAGGCAGTGGCACACCAGTTAGTATTAATTATACACATTGTGATTTCTCTGAATTGCTATTTCTAATATAGAAATATACAGCTCCTGAATTACTTGATGCTAACACTAAGTATGGTGAAGCAGTTGACATATATAGTGTGTCATTAATTCTCTATGAAATGTTTTCTGGTAAAATAGCATTTGAAAATTTGAGTCCACATCAGCTTCTTGCTGCTGTTTATCTTCATAAAAAGCGACCTGATTTTGACTCAACATTTCCAAAAAATCTTCGAGAAAAAATTGAACTTGGATGGTCTCATGAAGCAAAAGAACGTTGTAAACTGGATGATTTTCTACAAGTATTACTAGAAATGAAGAATCCATCAATATTAGTATCTAATAAACAAACAACATCAATAGGAGAAACTATTCGTATATCAATGATTGAACAAGCCGATAATACTCAGATGAAATTATTACCTTTTTCACCAATTATACAAATGAAATGGACAATTCAAAGCGAACAAACACAATTGTTAATCAAAAAAATGATAAATGATATGCTTAATTCATCTTCATTTGTAAAAACATTTTCTGATACGATTGTTAATGCTATGTTACAAGTACCAAAGCATTTATTTGTTGATATGACTGTCTAGAAGAATATTACTAAAACAACGGATGATGATGTATGTCTTAAATCAATTTACAATTATGCACAAGCATTGCGTGTTAGTCAAACACAAAATATGAGTTCAACAGAAATTACTGCTGCTCAATTGAGTTTAATACCGTTAAATTCTGGTGATCGTATTTTGTTTCTTGGAGCTAAAGAGGGTTATATTCAAACAATAGCAGCTCAAATAGTTGGATTTCAAGGTCAAGTATGGATATGTTCACAAGATAGCCGAGATCTTCAACATGTTGAAAACGTTCTGAAAACTCATGTGTCAACTATTCTTAGAGAAATTATCAAATGCGTTTTAGTTAGTAATATTCAAGATGTAAATCAAGTAAAAAATGGATTAGAACAATATTTTAAATCTACTGAACAATATTTTAATACGATTCATGTTTGTGGAGCTATTTCACAGGATTCGCTTGAATATTTTCAACAATTTTTAAAAGTCGAAGGACAACTCTTAGCACCAATTAATATTGATGAAAATAATCAAAAGTTTACTATTTTACATAAAATACGAGATCAAAATTCTGGTCAAGTTACTTTAAATAAACGAATACTTAATGATTGGGGAATTATATTTGGACCTGTTCTCTAACAAATTCTTCAAAAATTTTTTCTTATAACCAATAACATTTCATTTTTCTATTTTTATCTTAAATCAAAGACAATTTTCTATCTGTCATAATTATAAAAAGAGATTTAATTCCTCTTCTTTTCTATCCTTATTAATAATCACTTAATTGTGGGAAATTTTTTTCATTTGATTTTTGTATTCAAAGAAAAAACTTCATATTACGCTACATGAAAGAATCTTTTAGTCATAAATTATGTTTAAGACAATAAGACTAAACAATTTTGAACTGTATAAGTGTCCAAATGAATGAAGTTCATTCATAAAGTATTCGGTAAAGAGCGCATTTTTTCGTTCAGTACGGCTTAATAAATTTACGTAACCTCAATCGAGGAGGACTTTGATATCTCAACACTTTTCTTTGTTGATATAAAACGATTATTTAATTTTAGATAAGGAGCTTAAAGAAAGTTCATAATTACTTTTTTTCTTTGAAACAAGATTCGAGTTTCATTCGAAATTTTTCAGAATACAGGAACTGATTTTTGTAAAAATAACAACAATTCTAGGAGACTTTTACGTGTCAATTTTTATTGAAACTTTGAATTGAAATGAGTTTATCGTTTAATATATATTTTTTCATAATATTTTATACTCGCTAGTTTTTTTCCTTCTATTATTCAAAATAACAAAGACAGAATAGATATTACTCATAATCATCAATTTGATTCTAATTATTGAACTTTTCAATTCAATTGATATTTGAATGAATAGAATATGTTGAAAGATTCTAACATTACTGTCATTAGGAAAAATGAATGATTTGCTTGTTTCTGAACATTAATATATTTTTCAAATAATAACAAAAATACACAACTCTTTTTTCTCCAATGTTTGATGAAAAGAGAAAAATTCTAACTGATTTATTTTCTTTGTAAAATTTTTTCATCAATTTTTCCTAATGTTGTTCGATCATTTTGTACTAATTCAACAACATTTTTAATTCCACGATGAATTTCTTGTAAAATATCTTTAATTTGTTCAATTTTTTCTTTATCAAAACGTAATGATTCATTTGAATTAAGTATTAATGACCATTGTATTGGAGCTAATAATGTTGGATTCATACGTATTTTCATAATCAAATCTTTGATACGAATATCTAATGGTGATTGAGATAAATTTTGTAATGAATGAAGATTAGTCCAAATTTGAATTTCCGTTGAAGTTAATTTTGGTTCATATTGACGACGACGACATTCAAATTGAATTGTAGCCTTGAAAATATTAAATAGATTATTCAAAAAATTTTAATATCTTTGTTGTTATATTTACTTTAAGAATTTTATGTGAATATTCAAGTAACTTCGTTTGATAATCTTTCATTTTTAAACGAAATCCATTACATTGATCTTTAACAGAACTTAATTGTTGACGAATGTTTTCTAATTGTTGTTTTTGATCTTCATGTTCAATAAATTGAGATTTCATACGATCACGTAAAGCTATCAGAAAATATATTTAAAAAAAAAACACAAATTAATTTATGTCCATTTTAGAGTCAAATGACCATGAGTAGTGTTTGAATAGCTTTAAAACAAAAAGAGAAATTAATGTGGCTTTTAGAATTTTCTAGACTCGACGTTATTCTATGTTTTTACAAAGTCGAAGAAAGATTTCAGCTACTTTGCTTTTTGGAAGTTTTGAAGATGATCTTAATCTGCTTTGAAAATAATATAACTTTCTAACTATAAGATAATGGGTAGATAGCTTTACGTTTCCTTTATCGATCAACGCAAGGCCAAGATCGATAGCAGTTTTCGTTCGAGAAATATAAGTATTTTGCTCAAGACTACTCATCAAAATTTTTTTCAAAACCTGAGAAATTAACAAATATTTTCTTATGTAAATTTTAAGTTACCTTCTACTTCATGACATGACTCATTATCTTTGCAGTTTTTTTTTTTTTACCAAGAACATCATCAAAATCTATACGTTGGATTTATTTTTATGACAATAAAGCAATTTGTCACAAAATTCTCTAACCTTCATTTTAGCGATGTTTTTATCCCATAAATTTGCGAATCCAAATAGGTATACATCACTCCTAGTTTATCGTATAAAATATGAGTCTGACCTGTAATATCAAAACTCGGAGTTAGTAGCCATAAGAGAAGAATTGATAGATAAACAGTGCAACAATATTAATTATGTACTCATTTGGTATCAAGTTGATCAATCAAAGCTGGAAATGGTGCATATCTAAATCCAAATCGGTCAACCGAAAAGGAATTCGAAAACATCTATGTAAAAAGTCATTAAAACATCGGTATCATCTACAATATAAGTACTTTCATGATCATCTAATTCTTCTTCAATCTGTTCGATATAAATGTCGGCCTTGATAACTGTTGTTTGATGTAACGTTTGTTTCCGTCGCAACCAAACTATATATCCGTTTATATGCCAAGTATTTCAGCGAAAATAAAATTCACGTGTCTATCAGGTATATATGTTTTTCTATTGGTTGAGGCTAACTCTGTAAGATTCAGTATATAAATAATTTGATTCTAAAAAAATCAATGACTTAATTCATTCACACAGTGAGCTACAACACTTGTGAAATAGAATCATAAGATGTGGAACTCTAAGTATACATATAAATTCAACGTAGAGATTTTGATGACATTCTTGTAAGAAAAATAAACTAAAAATGATAATGAGCCATGTCGCAAAACAGAAACTAGCTAATAGCTTATATAAGATATTTGTTAGCTGCTGCCCAGATTTTGAAAAAATTTTGATGAGTACCCTTCATTAAAAATCTTCTATTTGTTGAAATAACATAGCTACCCACCTCGGTCTTACTTTAACCTATAAATGATATGTTAGACTATCTGTTCATTATATTACTGTGAGAAAAACGTATTGTTTTCAAAGTGGATTAAAGTCATTTTCAAAACTTACAATGCATGCCAGAAGCAAAGCAATTGAATTCATTCATTGACTCCGTAAAAACAATAATTACTGAAAACTGAATATACTTTTCTCTTTTTCTTTTATCGTTACTCAAAAAATATCCACGATCACTTAACTCTAATATCGACATACCTTTAACACCAACAAGTGGTACAGGCAAAAGTAGTTGTGGCTTAGGATTCTCTTTTTTCGCTTGTTCCCAAACAAATGCTGTCAAACCTAAATGAAATTTCAAAAAAAAAAAAAACTCTCTCTTCCCAAAAAAAGAAATTATAAAAATAAACCTGGTGGTGTAGAATCAAGATATTGTTTATAATCTTGATCACTTAAATCCGTTCTTGCAAACACTTGAGCAATACCCATGGAATCTAAATGTGCTTTATTTTGATTCATTGGTGGTGCAAGCAATGTTGTCGTTTGCTGTTGTGGTTGTGATGGTTGAAGATAATTAACAACATCGGATGCTTTTGCTTTTTTAATTAATAATGTTCCAGGTTGTTTTTCGCTAACAACAATTAACATCTAAAATATAGTTTTTCTTATTTTTTTTATAATAAATGAAAATAAAAATTTCATTCTATTTACTTGAGTACGATCATCAGCTAATGGTGAAATTCCTTCAAGTTCAATGATACAATTCGGATTGTTATTAAAACAAAGTCGATGAAGAGATTCAATACGTTTATCTTTATCTTTGACAACATCAGCTATTTTTTGATTAATAATCAATGTAACAAGACCATCTTCATCACGAGTTTTTGGACGAACACTGTATGAATATGTCTATAAGAAAAACAAAACAAAATCATTTTTTTTCTATTCAAAAGAAGCAATAATTAAATTTACTTTAAAGACATGATAAGGAAGATTAGCATCAACATCATATGTACCTGAATAATAATTTTAAAAAATTAAATATTATTCTTTTTTATATGATTATTATATTTACCTTGATGACAAAATGTTTTACCGGTACCATAAAATACTTGTAGAATATTCCATTTAAGAATGAGTTCATCTCGTTCATCATTGAATAAACGTGGTGAAGTTAATGATGTTATAAGTACATCATCTGGACGAACTGCAATATTTGTTGGAATTCCTGTTGGAACCGGTGCAGTAGGAGCAAGACTAGTAGTTCCGAATGGTTGTGTTAAACCTAAAAAATTATGTTTCCCTATAGAAAAAACACACATACTATTATAGATGAGATACAAACCTCCACTGAAGGCAAAAGAAGGTGCTGTTGTTGTAGCCGGTGCTGCTTGAAATCCAAATGAACCGAAAGCAGCTGGTGCTGCAGTAGCTGTTGTTGTACCAAAGCTGAATCCCGGTGCCGTCGTAGTTGTTCCTGTACCAAATCCAGTGAAGGGTGATTTTCCCGCTGTTGCTGCTGCTGTAGTCGTTGATGGTGGAGTACCGAAACCGAAGACTGATGTCGCAGTAGTAGCTGGTGTTGCAAAAGTAAATGGTCCAGTGGTAGCTGTTGTAGTTGCAGTAGGAGCACCAAATAAAGGAGCTGTAGATGATGTTGTCGTAGTTGCTGGTGAACCAAATGTAAAGGGACTTGCAGTTCCAGCTGTGGTTGTAGTCGTGCTTGCAGGAGTGCCGAATAGTGTCGGTCTTGTCGTAGGAGTCGTGCCGAATGAAAATGCCATCTAGAATATACAAATAAAATGTTCATGAGGCAATTCAAATTTAGAATTCATTAAAAAAATGCAAAGTTTAATGATGAAATGACATAGATTACAAATTGTTGAAGCTAATAACAGTATTTTTGTTTTCTACTAAATAAAATATTAGAGAAAAATGAAACATTAAAGGATATCTTTTTTTAAAATAAAATATGACACAACAAGAAAGTAAATTGCTACACAGAGCAAACCATTCTTCTCGAAGTAATTTATCGGGGCTTAAATTATTGGAATTATTGATCAACCTATCAAATGATGGTGCGTAATGAGGTCGCTATATAACACTGCATTTTTTGACTCATGTTGAAATACTTTTATTTTTATTTTCATACAGTACGCATCAAAGATAGCATCAGTGATGAATCTTATTTTCTAATTCACAGACACAATCAAAATTGTGTTAGAAAAAATTTGATAAAAATAACTTCATCATTCGATCGATCATGATAAATAATTCTATTACGTTTCATATAAAAAATGTGTTTTTATATCAAATATTAATGTTATTTATGAATATCAATGTCGATTGATTTTTATTTTCGTGTAGATAATGGATAAAAGTTACACTGTTTTTAATAGACAACCTATGCAAAATATCCTTGTGATTGAAAATGCATCGATATGTTAACTATAAATTCCATGTGATATTTACAATCATAGTTATTTTAAAAATTAAAGAAAAAAACTAATAATCCTAAACACGAAGAGAATTTATTTGATTTTACTTTTTTTAATGCGATATAAATTGTTTATGATTTCAATACTGTTCTAATTTGATTAGAGTAAATCAATAATTGACTTTTTAAAAAGAATATCAGTATCAGGTCAACGTTGATATCGATTTTCTATTTACATTAATAATAAAACTAAATTGTTTTAATTGAAGCATTTTTGTTTAAAAAAGATCAACTATTCATTGAAAACCACAATTATATCAAGATTACAATTCTCAACAACGAAGTTCAGATAATACGGTTTATGACAAAAAGAAAATTTTCAATACGGTGTTTTCATTCGAGTAATTCAAATCTTAAAATGTTATTGTACGTAATGGAGTATCATCCTAGTGTGCTTATCTTTTGAATGAAAGCAATGTGTTTAATATTTATTCCAAAAATAATTTTGAAATCAATTCAATTTGACGAAAGTATTTTCTTTTATTCAAACAATAGTGCTAAAGAAAAAAAACATTAAAATGTAATAAACGATACATTAGCCATGCTTCTAATTGAACATTTGCTAGAATAGTCAAGTCATGGGCAAATCGTTAAACAAACAATATGTTTGAATTCAATGAGAAGAAAAACTGAACCTTGATTAGCACAGAGCTCATTAATTGTTAGATGAATTAGATAAACATGGGGTATGACAATCCTTTCCTTTGTTTCCAATATTCATCCGCATAATACTTCCTACTTTTGGATTTTGTTCATACAGCAGTGTCCCTTTTTATTAGACTCAATTACTCTGCACCCGTTCCGCTGTGTACATTGCTGAGTTACGGCTCTATAGATAAGGCATATTTTCAAGTGTAGTATAATCATGTAGTTTACATATAACTATTCCCAAATGAAATGAATAAATATTAAAAAACTGTTTTACATCACACTGCTCCTCAATACAAAATAAATTACAAAGAATAAGAAAGAAAATAAGGTTTATAATTATCAGAATGATTATTTTTTAATTAAATGAACATGTATTGATATTGAATGAACAATTGTTATATAATTATTCATTAAGTCTTTACCGACGAGGGACCTTCTTGAAATAGCTAGTTTCGTTTTCAATGATTTTATCTCCTATGCATACAACATTGTGTTCTAATAATAGCTGTAAAGGAATTTCGATTTCTATTGATATTTGACTAAGTTTTGAAATTTTTAATATATCTATTTTCTAGCGGTTCGAGATTTTCGAAAAACTTGTATTTCCGAATTTTGATCTAAAACTTTGTGAATATAGAGAACTCAACTAGGCTACTTTTCAAGAAAAAATTCAAAAGTTTTGAACAAAATCTCTTTGAGATGTGATTAAGGAAAAGTTTCATTTGGTAAATGTTCACTGTTGAATAAACTTATATATTAATTCCTAGTCTATAAAATATTCATCAAAAACAAACTTTTAAAATGGTTGTCGATTGAAATTTATTTAAAATATCAATTAAATTAAATTAATATAAAATACTAATAAATATTCACAACCAAATTTGAAACCAATTATCACAAAAATCTACTTGATAATCTTTGTTAGGATTTTTTAATCGAGATGAATATTCAATGAGCCATTTTTGAATATGTTCTAATGATATATCATCTGATATTCGTCCATTTATTGTAAATACAATAAGTTGTTTACAATTATCTAAAATTGAACCTACAATATCTGCTTCAATTAAATTTTCTGTTTTATATTTGATTTTTAATGAATGTATATCACTAAAAGTTTTTGATAAACTATGAATATGTTCATTTTTAAGTGTAACATCACAGTTGTTTCCATCAATAAATAAATGAAGAACACGTGAGAATGTTAAATCTTCACCAGTATTCTCAAACAATTTAATAGCACAATCAAGATCAATGCACAATGTACTGATGTTATGTGCAGCGATAAGTAATGTTTGAAAGTGTTGCCAATTATCTACCATGCCATATACTGATAAAATCTCAAGTTGCTTTAGTTTTGGAAGATTAGTAATTGTTTGTTGAGTTGTCAAAACTAGAATAAAATATTAAAATTAAATGTAAGATTATTTTGATTTAATTACAGAAGAAAATCTTCTCTTGTATCATAGAAAATACTTCTCAACTGATTCATAAATAGTTTTTAGTTAATGGACAATAGGGATGCACTAACCAGTTGTGTAAAAGTCTGTATTATTTTTGTTTTCAGTGTAGCATCAGCACAATTTGCCAGATTGAAAAATTTTTAAGAACATGCTTGACTGGAAAAGTGTCTTACAACTGCATAAAAAATCAATGATCAGGAGTGTATTTGATTGGTAGGTATTGTACCCAGCTTTCGAAACTTTTAGATAGGTTATGTGTAATCAATGCGATGTGGACTTTCTAATGCTAATTGGAGTTATAAAACTGCAGGTTTCATATGAAACAGTTTTATTAAAAAATTGATTTATTTTTTAGAGTGTTCAATGATGTTTCTCTTATAATGTCTCATATTCTGTTTTATATAACATACATTTTTTAGAGGACTCACTAAGCTCTAATTTGATTTAAAATGCAGGGTTTTACTAACTTCGATTACTGGAAAAAATCCAACTTTTTGCAATTATCTATTAGACCTGAACACTTTTCCCTAGCCAAAGCTGTTAGCAAAATATCGCTTTCGAATTCAACTGATAACTTGAAAACATTATTTTTATCTGTTTACGATGTCCTATCGTAGCAGTGCAAAACTCGACAAAAATGGAAAATAAGACACTTTTTTTAGCAGATGAAGAGTTTCTTCTAAATTCCAGAGCGTGTAAAGAACTTTTCTAGTCAAACATATTTTTCAAACTTTTCAGCCTTTGACAAGTATTTTAAACAAGATACTTTTATACAATTTTACTCTTACTAAGATGAAAACTATCAAGTCTCTACAACGAGTTGTTGACCAGCTATACTGAGAACAAAATTAACACTGAACTTTTGCAACACTTGTGATTCTTTGACCGTAGTTTCAAAAATAACAGCTTTTTAGTACTGAGAAGCCACTGTTCTATCGATTGTTTATAACAGTTCTGGACATTTTTAATTAGAATACTTCGAATCCATAAAAGAAAAAACAGTTTCAGAATTGGTCGCAGTTTGTTGAAATCGATGAAATTTTTGACAAAATCGGAACAATACTGAAACGTGTTTTTCATATTTGATCGAATCTAATAGAAGCTTTGAGTAGAGAAATCTAAATTGACCGAAACCGTTATGAGCAATTGATAGAACAATGGCTTCTCAGTACTAAAAATTGTTATCTTTGAGACTACAATCCAAGAACTGATGCATCTCGAATGGAGACAGACCAAAGTTTTCGAACAAACTAATTTAAATTATTCATGGAGTCTACTTTCCAGATATTTACTCATGAATAATCTGGTAAATTGAAGATCCTATATTTGATATATTGTTATTGATAATGATTTCTACAAAACTAGTCTTGAAGTTTAACTACTCTAAGATCGAGCAGTCAGTTAAAGTCAGTGTACAAAAGACTATTTTTTATCGATATATCGATGATAATGAATAACAATACATATTTAATAGTTCCATATGCATTAATCGATCTAATATTCTCAATGTAATTGTTTTCAATATATATGATTGCTATTCGTAGGATAATTTTCAATGAAATGTCAGTAAGAAGAAGATTTGAATCTTTGTGAATGTACAATTAGTATCATCAAGACTGAAAAACAACATACACGATAAAAATATAGGAAAAAAGAAAAACTAATATATAGGAGCGAACAAAAGTTTAGTGACTGTATTTTTGAGTTTTCTTCTCAATGGTAATTGCTAGCAAGAATTAAAAAAAAAACATTTCTGTAGCTAAAAGGATTTGCTATCAAAATTTGTAAACTCAAAGACTTCAGCAAAACTACTGGGATGGACGTGTGCGGAAAACCGAGACTCTCAAACTGACTTTCTGGCTTCCATTCGAAGCTTGTGGGAAAAGATTGTGTTTGGTGGAGTACAATGAGACGTATCCAACGTCTCTATGACCTTCTTTCATCAATCTGAATTCAGTTTACAGAATGCCCAAGAAGAATCAAATATAGCAAAGACATTGAAACTTGCAATAAAGAAAAATCAGAAAAATGTTTCTTAGGTATTCTGAATATTGAATGCAGTTCGATGAAAGACGGTCATAGAGAGATCGGATACATTTTATCTTCTTCATCGAACACAATCTTTTCCCACAAATTTCGAATGGAAGCCAGAAAGCTGATCTGGGAGTCTTCGTTTTCCGCAGACGCCTATTCCAATAGTTTTTCTGAAGTTTTCAAATCTATCAATCCTGTTAGAGAATCTTTATAGCTACACAAGTATTTTTCTTAGATTCTTGCTAGCTATTACCGTCAAGAAGGAAACTTAGAAATGCAACTGCTCAAAATTTACGTTCGTCATAATATATAATAAATCAATATCGATGTGTTTTCTCTATTGATGGTTTTTATCATGTACTGGTTTTTCATTTGTAATTATATTCGCTGCGAGTTGACAAAAACTCGAATCTTTTCCTTCATAGACATCATTCTAATAACAGATATACGTATATTTACCTTATCGAACTTTTTAAAATGCACTCGGTTCATTAAAAAAAAAATTTCTTATCAGCTTTCGGATGAAATCTTCATGAACTATTGATCTGTGAGAAGTCAAATACATTAGTCTGTATACATCATTATGATGTCTTTATATTTTTTAACTATTTCAGGTTCCAAATAAAAACGATTTCTATGATAATTTGTCAATATTTTTTGATTCGCAGGAAAAGTTATACGTTGTTATTGAAATCAGTCGAGATTATTCGTATGAAAAACAAAACTTAACTAAGATTCTATGAACAAGAAAAGAAAAATTATTTTATTTAATTGAATTTGAATGAAAACATTTTCAAATCCTTTTTCTTTCTGATAATATTATATAACAGAATTTACGTATTGATTCTACCTGGTAAATTTATTTTATTTTTATCTATTTGAATATTTAAATCTTGTATTTTTCGACAATGTTGTATAATTGTAAATGTTTCAAGTAAAGTTTTAGCATGACATATACATAAATATTGAATATTATTATAAACTTGATCACCTAGATTAATACCAAATTTATTAGGTAATATTGAATGTAGATTAAGAAGAATAGATGGATATGGTAACGTATGAATAAGTATATAGGATTTCTTTTCATCCTTATTAATCGTATAAGCAATAGAAATCGGATTCCATGATTGTAAAATATTCTTTGGATCAAAATGATAATCAACAGATGTTGAAAAATATGTAGCATATTTCAATGATTCGATGAGATTATCGTTATTAAATAATTGAGAAGATAAAAGTGTAAATAGATGTTGACCATAAATAAGACGTTCATCTCTAGTAGTAAGAGTCAATGAAAGTTGTTGAATAGTTGGTGTTAGACGAAGTATTGATGAAATATTATCGAGTGTTGAATAAAAATCTATAGCATCAAGAGAAAAATGAGTAAGACATTGAAATGGTATTATATCTTTATTAATTGGTAATAATTCTTCAATAACAACATGAAGTCGACGAATATTTGGAATAATAATTGCAAGAGAAATTAAATCATTAGATGTTGAAAGTGATATACTCATTTCTATAAGATTTGAATGAGTTATCAAATTGTTTTGATTAATTGATAATTTCATTGAATAACAATCAGGTTCAAAATAAATGCATTCAATTTGAGTATTTTTATGAGTTATTTCTAATAAATGTTTTTGATCTTCACTTGAATGCGTAATTAAATTTGTATGATTTACTTGTCGTAAACCACGAATAATAATTGTACGAAGATATTGAAGTTGATTTAAATGATTTCCAATAAATGAAAATAATTCTTCATTTTTCCAATCATCTAATGCTAATTTTTGTAAATTAGGAAATATTTTATTCATATGAAGACTGAATTTGTTTAAAAAATGTGTTTGTTGTAATCGATTTATTGTTAATGAAATAATAAATGTACCAATTTTTGGTAAAACATTCGAATAAATATAAAGAAATTGTTTATAATTTAATCGACGAAGTATAACATGATGACAATAATCAGTTATTGCATGATTAATACGTGAATTAATATTGTAAAATGAATAAAGTACATGACCACAATGAAGATATCGATATATTTCAAGAATAATTTCATCTGGCAGATATTCGAATTTTGATTTCAAGAAAGTATTCATCTAAAATAAATTTTCTTTTTTTTTTTTTTTTTGTATTAAAAAAATAGAGATTTAATCAGTAAACAAATTTCTTCTTATAACCATAATTTAAACCATTCATTACTACATTCTACTCGAAATATGTCTAAAGATTTTCTACGAAAAGAACTTTGTTCAATGACCCATTGTCGAATATCATTTTCTCTTATAGCATTTGGAATTTTACCATAGATATGAAATATAACAAGTTGTTTAAACTCATTTATGATTAATTTTATTATATTTGATTCAATATATTCTGCTAATGTTTCATAATCTATTGTTAAATTTCTAACACGAGTGAATACTCGTGCTATAATATGAATTTTTTCAATAGTTAATTTTGATGTTTTTGTTTGTTGATTGTTATTATTTTCTGGAATACGAATACAAAGATCAAGTATGTGTCGATGAAGAAGAACATATAGAATAAGTGGTTCATTTTCATCTTCAAGTAATCTAAGTAAACAATCTAAATCAATGACTAATACACATAGATTTGGTGCAGCAAGAAGTAATTCTTTTAAACGGTGTAAATCAGACGGAATACCTTCAATTGTTAGAATATCAAGACGGCCAAGATATGGAAGTTTTACAGGTGATTTATTGTTATCACCTATAAAAAAAGAAAATTTTCTTTCATAGAAATAATTTAATTTTTATGCAAATCTATTCAAAAAACAAAATTTTCGATCACATAATTGTTAAAGACCTAGAAACAAGTAACGAGTATCCCAGTTGACATTGCATTAAATTTCGAAGTCTCTTTCTTTTACTTGCTATGCATAAATATATTTTGTTTAAACGTCAAACAATAGAGAATTCGAAAGGTGTGGGTGTATTTTTGAAACTAACATTTACACTCCACGCCCAACACCTCTGCAGTTTTGGATGTATGTTTCAGAATATTAGGTAAAATATTTGGCATAAGCAACTTTGAAATTAAAAAGAACTAAAAACAACAACAAAAAAAGTCTTTTATGATAAACCTGTACAATCCTTCCTTTTTTTTAAATTCTAGAAGATCTTACGAGGGAGGATATTTAGATGTTCAAGTGTTTTAGAGCCCATCTTTTGGCCACAAATAGACCTCAATGAGACATGAAAAACCNTATCTTGAATTTTTTATATTTTTTTCGCCTATTCAATAGCTTTGGAAGAGTGAGAATATGTCTGTAGATGTGAGTGTGTGGTGTGGATGTGGGTATCAGATACAAATACATTCATACCCACACCCTATATAATGAATTATATGATCTATTGTTAAAAAATAACTATTCTATATCTTGTCGTCAAAACAAGAACTATTGAATATGTCTCAAAGGATTGATTTTCTTAAACTGTATTTATAATGATGAATGATATTTTTTCCATTAGAGAAATCGAATATTGCGAGAAAAGCATATGTATTTATATGGTTTTTACGATGTTTAATCAACTAAAAATCATTTTTATGTAATATAGCTTTTCTTTTAGTCCGATGTGATACATTATATACTATTGAAAGGTAGATTCGATCAATCGATAACGAAAAAATATTGATAATGGTTCGTTGTTCGAAAACTTGGACAATCAAAAGGATATAATCTATGTAGAACAATTGTTAGTGGAATTCTTTCAAAAATTAAACTTTGCGATAGGATATAGTTACGTTTCTTATAAACGAGAATATCTAAATACAAAGTTTTTCTTCTAATCTGACAATTGAGACGTACTACCATCCTGTATTCTGTGATGAAGCAAAAACTATTCACTAGATATCACGGTAAGTCTAACTCTCTCATTGAAGAGTCGAAGAAATTATTAATAGTTGGACGTGTAACTCGATCGGCTGTGTCATCATCGTTGTCTAAACTATTTGCTAAAGGTTTAAGCCATCACCAGCACTAAAAGAGAAAAGGAAGTAACATTACATTCAATTGCCCTAGCTGATTACTTCATTGGTTTAAACGTTTTCGAGCAGTAGTGCTTTATAAAACGGAAAAGAAACTATGTCTATAAATGACTATTCACAAGACAAAAGAAAAAACGAGATGAAGTACAAAATCAATAATACATGAGACGAGATGTTGACTTTGACTTTTTCTATGTATTTAATCGCGAAGAAAACAATAAGGTGCTACGTAAAGATTTCCTAAAGCTTGAGAAGACCTCAAGATATACCTAAGTCAATAAAACATGCTGTTTCAACCTTGCATTATAAAGAGGAGCTTATTATTTTTGTTTGTACTGCTCAAAGCGAATAAGTACGATTATTATTGTGTAAAAAATCAGAAGAAATTGCATTATTCACTTCAGGGTGTCATTTACGTTAAGACGTAAATTTCAGTTGTTGTGCAAATTTTTTGTTTTTGTATAGTTTTCTTTTTTTGTAGTTAATCCTGAATACCAGGATGAGACTTTAATCATCATTCTTTTTATTTTATTTATTTGTAGATGTATACCTGTTTCTTCTGTTTTGACTTTCGTATTTATGTATATGTGTATGTGTAAGCAACACCATAGACAATAAAGTAGACGGCTCGTTCACAATTATTCTTTAGAGTAAGTTGACCTTGTCTTTCAATCCATGAATGTCTCTTTTTTTATTTTACCTAGGTGAAGTTATCACCAGATTCGAGTTTTTTCAACCCGGATTCACTCAAGAACTTGTTCTAAATCTTCTATTCTTGTTCCAAGTACAACTCGACGAGCTCTATCCAACGGTATGCTCAGATTTTTCATAACATCAATTATGATTTTCAGGTTTTGTACCGCAACATCTACGGTTCCAAAAATCATACTTTGGACTATGGCAAATCATTGGGCACTGTTGAAGGAAAATGCACGAGTTAAGGGAAAACATGGACACTATGACGGAGGCTCGAATGAAGAAATAGGATTGACTACGAATTTTTTAAACAGAAAGCATTATAGACTTGAAGAAACGAACTTTAACGAAATAAAATCTGTCAAAATTGTTAACTATCTAGTGGTAGACACTTCATGTTTTTATAGCGAAAATAAATATTATTCAAATTAATGTGTGTTGATGATTAGTGTCATCATTTTTTTTTGCTTTTTTCTGTATTGAAAATATTCAAAAACTTTTTTGCATTCTTCAGCCTACTCAAGAATCCTAGAACTCTTACTCCTTCGAGTTCGTCATTAAACAGGTATCTTGGCTGTTTTTATGTGAATCATCACTCGCTATAATGATTTCTATTTGAAAAATTTGTAGCCAATCCTGTTTCTCCATTCGTGCTTCCATGATGGTGTTCATGTTTTCCCCTAACTCGTACTTTCGCTTAAACGGTGCCCACGCAAATCTGCGTGTACCGTTGGATAGACCTCGTCGAGTTCTACTTGGAACAAGAGTAGATGATTTGGAACAAGTTTCTGAGCAAATTTTGGCTGGAAAATCGTGAATCTGGTGATAACTTCATCTAGATGTTTTTTTTTGTGTTGACCTTGAGCCGATAAATATTTTTTAGAAGAACGCAAAAGCAGCTTTTTTATTTACTAGTGCGGGTTTTTTTTTCTTGCTGTTCTTATCAGTAATAAAGACTTGCAAAATACACGCACTCTTTGCCATTCTATTAACATACATCAGACATCCACTTATTCAAAATGGATCGAATTCAATGTCCGATTTGCTTGGAAACCTTCTCTAACGAGAGAAAGCCAATGATTATATGTTCACATGGTCATTCCATGTGTCAAGAATGCTTGAATGGTATAACATCATCAACGAAACCAGAGTGTTCTCTATGTCGTGATAGTTTATTACCAGTACCTATTGTTAATCGTGACGTGTTGAGTTTAATAGAAGCTATTTATGAATCAATGGCTGCTATACCAGTAATCAAAGTAGAAGAATTAACAATGGAATCTAAACCATTTGGATTTGGTGGTAGTGCTGATGTATTTCGCGCACAATGGAACCGACATACCGTAGTTGTAAAACGTTTACGTACAACTACAAAAGATCCGAAACAGTTATCTCAATTGAAAGGAGAAATAAGTATTCATGTTGGATTAAGACATCCTTGTATTATTTCTTTATATGGATATACGAGTAATGGTGATGGTAGAGAAATTGTCATGGAATATGCAGAACGTGGTTCATTAAATCAAAATTGGAAAAATGCGGATAAAACACAACTCATCGATTGGGCACTTGATATTGTCGATGGTCTACAATATTTACACAGTCGAAAAATTTCGCACAGGTACTTTTATTCATTCATTGCGAAGTTGTGTCAGATAGATATCTATTTTTTCATGGCAATAATTTGCTCAGGTCCATTTCATAGTCTTCAAAAAAACTTAGAGAGATTACTTTCTATAGAAACTTTAAAGTAAAAAATGTATAAAATCTATCAGAGGGGTAGAACCTGCTATTGGAAGGAGAAATTTCTGCAAGCGTAGATAAATTTTTGAAAAACATTTTTCTTGCTATTAAAATAAAAGAAAAGTTAGATTTACTTTGTCAATCGTACTTTCGAAGAAAACGAAAGAGACATATATTTATTTAATTGTTTAAGTACGATACTAGTTTTAGAAAAAATAAAAACTTGGAAATCTTTATATAAATCGCCTTTGAACTCACTATCACGTTGTGAATTCATGTCGTGTTCGATGCTGCTCTGTATCAGATTTTCCATTGAATACAATCACTCTTGATCAATAAAGAATATGAAAGCAATGCAGAAGAGATCAAAATAAACCATCCTTTCCTTTGAACAATTAGAATAAAATAGTTTTATTGATATTTTTATATACCAATCGGAGAGAGAATGAGAATTTACTCGAGCGCTTTTCTACGAACATATCAGGTAACGGCACTTTTTTTTTGGAAAACCGCCGCGACGCAAGAGTGGCACGAGGGATGTTTCAAAAATACTATTGCAACAGTAACTGTTTCCTTTGTCAGAAAGATTGTAAAATTGCATGGACTTGCATTCCGATTGAAGTATCTACTAATCCAACAGTCAATATTGTGATGAATGTAATGAATTAAATCTAAAACTGCTAATCTATTACAGTGGTGGAAGATATTTTTCAATAATTTCTCGAAAACTATTGCTGCAATCTTGAATAGTCTAGGATCATGGTATGACAGCAGCAGAAGGTGTGGGTATAGATTCTTGTTGATGTGCGTATTCTAATAATCTGTACGCACACCCAGGAGTCGCGCGAGCGGGGGGTGGGTGGGGGAGTGTACACCCCCCCCCCCCCACACCTGCAACCGTTCGCCTTCTTCCCCCGCCGCAACCC